AAAAAAAATATTTTAAAACTAAATTATTTTAGTAAAGTATTAAAAAATAAAATAATATCATTCTTACTTAAAAAAATTATTTTAATCTTTTTTTTAAAAAAATTATTTTAAATAATATAGTTTCGAAATGTTTTTTTTTTCTTCATTTTTTTTGTAAATCTATCTAATAAACATTTTTTCATTTTATTATCATATAATTTAAAAAGTGTTTTTGAAATTAAATCGCATATCAAAATTTCAATTCAATATATAAATTTAATTACTAAAACACATTTAATAAATTTCTTTCTATGCTAGTTTATTAAGTTAAACTCCTAATTTGATTCCTAAACTATTGTATGGGCCCTCAATTTGGTCAATGAACTAAAAAAATTCTTGATTTGGTGCTTGAATTATTGTATGATTGCTTAATTTAGTCCTTACTGTTTATCTGTTTATCAATTTATCTCAAGTTGATCATTTCATATAAAAACAGTTGACTTATCTCATTATTAATGTGATACGTGGCCATTAAGTAACTGTTTTTCGTCATTAAGTAACTATTTTTTACCATTAAATAACTATTTTTTACTATTAAGTAACAGACATATAAGTTATTTTTTGTACGAAAAAGCTAACTTGAGATTGAATTAATAAACAAAAGGGACTAAATTAAGAATTCGTATAATAGTTTAAGGATCAAATTGAGAGTTTAACTATTTTATTAATAATAATATTTTAATATAATATGACCTAAAAAACATGAATCTCTTTTATAAGGCAACTCATTACTTTGGCATTTTTATTAAATTCAATTAATAAAAAACAGCCAAAGGAAAAATGAAAAGATAACCATTGTCTATTTAACAAGGTTATCAGTCTTGGTATATACGGATTGTATTGACTGTAGTACAAAAATATACAACTTGAAAAACATGTATCTCTTATACTATAAGCACAGCAATTCACAATTTTAAATCTGTTGTTGAGTTCAATTAAAAAAAAAAAAGAAGCCAAAACAGAACCAAAGTTATTATAAAGGAAAAATGAAAAGATAACCGTTGCCTATTCATTAATGCAAGAATTGGACTAAAGTTGGTTAACCAATCTAATGATAAAAATATTCTAATGACAAGCAATTTGAACAACCAACCAAAGATCAATGTTGTCCCAGGTGAAGGAAACAATATTCATAATTTAATTTGTAATACTGTTAACTAGACATGTGTCGACCCATTTAAAATTTTAAAAACATAAAATGAATTTAAAAAATTAAGTTTTTTTAATGATTAAGAAAACAAAAGTTGCTTGGTCTGTATGGTTGGCTCGAAACCAAAAGATTTTTCAAGGCAAAGAGATCAATCCAGAGAAGCTTCTTGAACTCATCTAATTGAGATTCTATCTTTGGATTAAACATAAAAATGATAGAATGAAAAGCAGCCTCTTCTTGATATCAGATTTGCTCCGGGATCCGGTATCTTGCTTAAAAGATGCTATAGCAAGAAGATGGCAAAACAGAGCGATAAATCCAGGTTAAAGATTTGAATTGATAGGAAGAATCCAATGGTGTCGACACCAAACAGGAGGTCTAAGCATTCAGAATCCGACACGGACGTGGTGTCGGCACATAATTTTGGTGTCGACACCAGATGCTAGGGGCTGAGCTTTCAGAACCCGACACGGATATGGTGTTGACACTTAATTTTGGTGTCGACACCAAATGGAAGGGTCATTTGACTCTGTAAATCTATTCCTTTCTATGGAAATATTTATGGGTTTAGGGTATCCCTTATACTCTGTCTTTGTTTCAATAAATATCACTTTTGCTATTCAAAGAAAAAAAGAAAACAAAAGTTGCCACCTACCTAAATAATGATGGAATAGATTACTCTGATCTATAAGAGATTAAAGTTTAAGAATACAATTAAAAGTAAAGAAAAGTATACGCACATTTCATAATCTTTCATATAAACCACAATTACATACTTTAAATTTGTGAAGTTTATTTCAACCTAAAAAGCATTTTCATATAAATGTGGTTAAACGAGTCAATTTAGACATGCAAGGATGTTAATGAAAATGGCCGGACCCAATTGAAAATGGGATTAAATTGCATGAGATTAAAACCAGGCTTGATCAACTTATTAATCGTCATTTTTTTTTTTTGATTTTTTAGCAGAAAATGCAAATTTTCTTTAAAAAAAAAAAGGGAAATCGGGTCATTTATTGGGCTTATAAACAGGCTATAAATGTTCAATTTTTTTTATTTTAAATTAAATGGGTCCATAGGATATTAGTTCATTAGGCTTTTGAAGGGGCCGAACCACAAGGTAAAATAAATATATCTATAGGCCCAAAACCCGACTAGCAAGATCCATCGAACCACATGGGATCCGAATCGGGTTATGACAACATGTATAACAATCAAGCATTCAAATTGTAAAATAAAAAATTCATAACAAATTAATAAATAAAGAGTTCATCTAGAAAGAAGAAATAATTGTGCAACTTCTAACCAAACATGCACAGCAATGGCAGTGTGAACCAACTATGATAATTGTATGCTTGTGATTTATTTCTTTCTTATTTGTATAATTTCTCAATTGACTGTATAAGTTGAATAGTTAGGCGTTCAACTTAACTAGAATTCATTCTATATGAAACCAATTTAATTAGAATACATTTCAAGACAAAAAAAATGAAAAAGAAAAAGCATTTTATATGAAACCAACCTTACTATTTTGAGATGTATTTTTGGAACATTAGTACCTATATATAACTAGGTGGTGAGACTTTGATCGGGCTGTCAGTAATATAAATATTTTATATAAAGTGAGAGGGTAAAAAATAATTAGAAATTGGAGGAAACAAATTATTTATAATAATAAATTTATAATTTAA